GCTCCTTAGATGATTGCTTATTAGTGTGCCAATCAATAAAGTACTCTTTCAAGTGCTCGTCCTAAGTAAGCTTATCCAATGACTTATAAGCATATCATTTCTTAACATTGTACCAGTGATTATCATATTATATGTAGAATTATGACTTATCCCTAGTGTTAGGATATTTCCACATGTGAGGATATAGCCCATAGTACACCTGTTGGATTGTAAATATGATGATAATGAGTGGCTAGTTTTGTGAAGTGAGAGTCATGTGCCTAAACTCATTCATAGGAGGTAGCATGATTCTTCTCTAGATAGGAGTAATGATTGTAATAATATACTTCTCCTAGATGAGCACAATCAATCCTCACTTACTTCTAGTTATAATGAGGGTGCTAAGAAATGCTCTAAGGTTCTACTTACCTCTTCATAGAGGCTTGAGTGATGAGGCATGTTGCTTGGCCTCCAAGATTAATTATTCAATCATGATGTACTTGGAGGCCTTCTATAACAAATCTTCCAAGGTTATTAGGAACCAAGAACTTAACATTTTGGGCTAAAGTTTAAGGATAAAGTCTCTTAAGAGAGGTTTTCATCACCATTAGTGATTATCTAAAAATCCATATTGAAATAATGGGTATAGTACTTAAGGGACTCATCAACCTTCTACTTAGCACAAAATAGTGAGTGAGAGTTCTTTAGTGGCCTCTCAAAAGAAGAAAATTGAGTAAGGAAATGTAAGATAATTTTCATAAGAAAATAATCCTTTATATGGGAAAAGGTTAAATCCCTTTTGGCTTACATCCCTATAGATTCTCAAAAGGATTCAAAACTTGATGGAATCAAAGATATTGTGCATGAACACCATGTTCAATTATTTATATAGTAAGATGATCCTTCACAAGTTTTGAATTGAAGAGCTTTGAATTAAAACAAAGCCTCCTCACCAATAATGTCCAGCATGAAAGAAGATTTTTGGACATGTTGGCATGCTATGAATAATTATTGGGAGCCACTTATTCTTATGGACAATGATTTGGGTTTTGAGTAGGCTATGCAATAACTATTAATAATTTTTATAAGGAGACCTTGATGAGGCTAGCAAGGTTGTTAATTTGCTGACAAAGATTATAAAGGTTGGCATCTATATGTTCATGTGTAATGAAAGTATTGCTTAACAAAGGCTCAATTATAAAGGAAAAATCTAAGTCCCAATGCTAAGGATTTACTACCATGCCTCCTTTCTTACACACAGAATGTAAAAGTAAAAATAATCAAGGAGATGATGCTAAACAAGTATGTTTATAGAGAAGACTCACTGATATGGGAAGGCAGTGGAGAGCACACACATTAACAATTTATAAAGTTGCACGAGCTAGATGTGCGATGAGGAGGTAAAAGGAGTTTGAATATTGAGAATTGAGGAAGACAATAATCATCATCAAAAAATGAATAACAATTTATTAACAAGATACATAAACACTAGCAAATCATTTTGAAGCTATCAAATTACTCATTATTTTGGTAATTTCAAGGTTTCAAAATATATCAAATAGTTTTATAGAGTGACTTCCTAAATGGTTTAATATAAGAGGTGTGTGTTGAGTAACCACTTGGTTTTTAGAGCTCTACACACTTTAATTTGATCATGTATTTGAATTAAAAAAAAAAAGAATTATATGGAATGAAGAAAGCACTTACAACTTGGTATAAAAGATAAAGTACATTCTCTTAGAGAATGAATTTAGAAAAGGATTTGTGGACATAATACTATTTATCAAGAAATTAGGCTCTAACAATTTTAGTTGACGAGATATCATCTAAAGCTAATAATTATATAATGTGTCAAAGGTTCCTTTAAATGATGAGTCATAAATTTGAATGAGTATGATGGGAGAGCTAACGTACTTTTTAAATTCAAGTGAAATAGGAGAAAAAAGAAAGGTTTCTATGTCAAGTTAAATATAAAAACAATTGGTATTGAAGGATACATGAGTGCAACTAATGAGCCATAACATAAAACCAGACAAAATACCTAGCAAAAAATAGTGAATATAACGCTATATTGAGGTATCATTAGATCGATGTTATATCTTAAAACTTGTTTTCCTAATAATATAACAACTTTTGATCTCATCGGTTATTCTAATTCTGACTTCATTGGATGTAAAATTGAAATTAAGAACACATTTGACAAATGTCAATTTATAGGATATTTTCTCGTATCATGAATGAGTAAAAAGCAGAACTCATTCACATTATTCTCTATTGAGGCTAACTACATAGTACCTAGTTGCTATGTATGCCCATGTAATATAGCTCAATCACCAACTCCTTGAATTTGAAGTTTTAATGTATTTGTTATCAATCATGTGTGAAAATATAATTTCAACATGCATGGTAAAAAAATTTATAATATTATAAAATATAACATTTCAATATTTTCTATCATTTTATTAAGGATTATGTGTCAATATGTGATGTGAAAATTCAATTCATTCACACAAAAAGTTAGATGTGAAAATCATATTAATTGATAGATTTGGTATTCTACTAACTTAATTAGGAAGTATTGACATAAGTGCAGAATTTGCACGTACTTGAAATTTTTAAGCAAATTAATCTTTTTTTTATTATTGTTTCTTTCCATAAAAAAGTGAGAAAATAAAAAAAATTTGAAAAATAAGACATAGATCTTTATCATTATAAAATTAGAAAAGTTAGGAAGAAAATGAATTAGAATTAACTCATTCAAACCCTGAGAACTTCTAATCAAGATGATTCTCCATCAACTACAAGTTTCTAGAGGGGTTAGCCTAACTGCTACCTATACATTAGGGAGATTAGTGGAGTTAGAAGATCAGACTATATGAATCACATTATGTTGTATGATCTACATTATACATGATAACTCATATCATATGATATGATCCGCATCATATTATTTGGCTAAAAATCAATAGAAATAGCTATATAGTCTTTAGGGAATGATTATGATAAAGTTTTAACCATTTTTCTTGGACTTTTGTGAGGTAAGAGGATATAAAGACTTCCCTCACCTCATTCCTACTCTTCTTTCATTCCAAACCATCTTGATTTTCTTGAGTTCTTGTAAGAAGTTTCTTTGTGGAGAATAAGAGAGTATGTGGATCCGGTTCATCCTCAATTTCATAACAAGTGAATCAATTCTACACTATAAAATATGGAGAAGCTTATGAGCATTATAAGAGATTATAGATAGTAGACTAAAAACTGATAATATAAGATGACTCTCTTACTTTATATTTTATATTTTTATTAACACCATCCTATAATATCTAATTTCTCTTAACCCGTTACTCAATGTTAATTTCTTTTTGAATTCTTTTTTAATATTATTTTTATCATCAAGTGCACTATTTTTCATTCCTTTGGTTGTGGGTGGAAGGTTAAGATCACTAATCAAGGCTTTCATAATTACTGACATGTTTCCAATATAGGGATTAATTATTTTAGCTAATAATTCTTTTGATTGGATGAATAGAAACCAAGTTTTACATAATTCTCCTCTTCCCCATGACTTTCAATTTGTGTGAAGCCTTTGTAAAATTTCAATTTTATTTAGCACATGCTTTACCATAATATCATTTTGAAAGTGTTGTGTGTGTGTTGGAAAGTATAACAAGGAGCAAATTCTAGGAGGAGAGGGAAGACTTGAATTCAATAATTGCTCGATTTTGTTCTTTCCAAACTTATGTACTTTTTATTTTGAATTGAAATGAAAGCTATGAATGTTGTTTTGGTAAATAATCAAATTAGTGGCTAGTTTATTTTTCTAATTTTATGATTAGATGTTGGTGTTGTATACACTCTTATATTATAAATAATTATTTTTTGTTTCTCCAAACTTCTTTCAGTTGTGCTTGCAGCGAAGTAAGTGATTAGTGTAGTATATGTTTAGACATAACTTCATTATGATTTTGATAAGCTCAATGGAAAATTGGAATTAATAATGTTCTAATTCATAATTAAAATTTTATAGACAAAGTATGCTTGTATATAATTATCAAATTAATCATAAATTTAGATTCATGATAAAATTATAAAATCTTTAGAAAGCAATATAGTTTTCCTTTTTCTTACCTCATAAAACATTTTAACTCATGGTAAGATAAATTAAGTAATCTATAAAAATTAGTACTTAACTTATTAAAGATAGCAATTGACTCCTCATGGGATCGATACTTTCTTATCACTTTATTACTTGAAATGACACATGCACTTGTGTGTCATCGTATCAACCAGTCAAGTTTTTGACGCCTTTGCCAAGTAATCGACGTCTTATCTTTACTTAGTTAATATTATTTTAAGTTCATTTATTTAATCTTACTTTTGTTTGTATTACTATGACACCAATAAAGTTATGTTTCAATTTACTTGTTTTTATAAATTTGGTTATAATTGTTATTATTAAAATTATTTTTCTTTGTTATAATTTAATATGTAAAGTGGAGTCTTTTCTCATCATTTTTATTATCTATTTTATGTGTGATAGAGACCAATTGTACTTAGCACTATTTGACCCATAAATAACTAAAACATAAAATAAAAATAAAAAATTTAAAAAGTTGAAAATCACTTAAAATTGACTAATCAATTACTCAAAAAAGATAAACCTAAACCACTTAAAAACTATGCCAATCCTTTTGTAAATGGAATTCACCAAGCATTAATAAAACTAGCATTCAAGTCAACAATTTTGAGCTTAAATCTATCATTATCAAAATGGTACAAACTCTCACTTTAGAGATCCCCTATAGATGACCTAACCTACACATAGTCAATATCTTGGAGATTTGTGCAACTTTCAAGTATAATGGAGTATATGATGGAACCATTAGGATTAAGTTGCTCTCATTTTCCCTTAGAGATAAGGTTAAGTTATTTTAAACTTTTTATCCCTATTCTCTATTTTCACTTGGAATAAATATGCCCATAAATTCTTAACCAAGAATTTTTATCCTTCTAAGGCTGCAAAAATTTGACATGACATCACCTCATTCACCCATAGATAGTGAGTCAATCAATGAAACTTGGGAGAGATTTAAGGAGTTATGAAGGAAATGTCCTCATCATGCCATACCTAATTAGCTAATTATTTAGATATTTTATAATGGGCTTGAAGGATCATTGAGGTCTATTATAAATGGTGTAGTAGAAGGATCTTTGATGTCAAAAGCTTTTGATGAGGCTTATGCACTAATTAAAAAAATGGCAATAAATATATTGTAATGGCATTCAGATAGGATATATTCTAAGAAGACAGCTAGTGTTCATAAGTATGATGTATTATTCATCTTGACTTCATAAGTAGCTAACAAATCAAGAAAATTAGACAATATAGTTATTAATTATAGTTAAGGAACATTGATAAGTATAGTGGAGAATGTGTATAAGCAAATAGATAAACATTTCTCTTATAATGTAGAATCCATGGTCAACAATAAGCATAACAATCCCTACTTTAATACTTATAATTTAGGCTAGAAAAAAAAGATGCATTTAACTTGAACAATAATAAACATGTAGGGAATAACAATTAGCCTAGCAATCAACCTAACCATGTCGAAATTGAAACACTTAGCAGCCAAATCTTGTTAATCTAGACCAAACTTTCCTCTTCAATTCAAATAATCAAAATATAGATAAAACATAATCCTTAAAATACTTAGTGTTATAAATGGGAACCCAGTTACATAGCCAACTATAGCCATTAGAAATATTAAAACTCAATTAGGAAAATTGACTAACACACTAAGTAAAAAATCTCAAGGAACATTTCCTTATAATATTTAGGTGAACCTAAGGGACAAGGGTAAGGAGCAATGTAAAGCAATTAAGTTGAGGAGTGTGAAGTATTTAGAAGAAAGGGATAAAGAGGAAGACTATTGAGGATCAAAAAGTTGAATCCAACCCACCAATTGAGAAACCTGATAGGAACTTTAAAGTAGAGAGGCCTATAAGAAGGATGTAGAGAGACCACCACCACAACCGTTTCCCTAAAGACTTCAAAAGAAAATTTTAGATAACCAATTCACTAGGTTTTTAGAGGTTTTCAAGAAGTTCATAAATAATATTTCACCTTCTGCAGATCTTGAAAAAATGCTCAGTTATGTCAAATTCATGAAAAATATTTTGAGTAATAAAAGAAAATTGGGATGTTTTAAAATTGTGGCATTGACTGAGGAGTGTAGTCTTATTATCCAAAAGAAACTTTCCAGTAATTAAAAGATTATAGCAATTTTGGGATTTTAGAACAACTTCTAAGATCTTACAATCAAGACTCTATTATCAAATATTTTTTGGAGATGTGAATGATTATGTGAAGAGATGTGATAGGTGTCGAAGAGTAGGTAATAAATCTAAAAGAAATGAAATGCCATTGAACTATATTATGGAGGTAGAGATTTTTTATGTTTAGGAAATTGATTTAATGAGACCATTTGTACCATCATTGGAAAATCTATTCATATTTATAGCAATAGAATATGTCTTCAAGTGAATTGAGGGAGCAACCATCGCTAGGAATGATACTTATGTGGTAATTGAATTTTTTAACAAAAATATTTTTTCTTGATTTAGAAAACCTAGAACAATTATTAGTGATGAAGTCACTTTTGCAGTAAGAGATTTGGGGCATTGGTAGCTAAATTTGTTATTAAACATAGAATTGCTACTTCTAATCATCCCCAAGCTGAAATATCAAATAAGGATAAAAAATAAATCCAATTAGGAAAGATTGGGCTTTGAAAGTACATGGAGCTTTATGAGCATATAGATCCAATTAGAAAAGATTGGGCTTTGAAAGTACATGGAGCTTTATGAGCATATAGGACTCACATTAAGACACCTATAGGCATGTCTCTTTATAAATTAGTATATGAGAAAGCTTGCCACTTACCCCATGAATTAGAACATATTTCTTATTAGGTAGAAAATGATATGAACTATAATCTTAAAGATGAAGGAGAAAAATACGACTAAAATTAAATGAACTATATGAGTTTAGATTAGAGCTTATACAAATGCAAGAATTTATAAGGAACAAATTAAGAAATGGCATGATCGTAAGCATATTATTAAGGAATTTCTACTTATATAGAAAGTTTTATTATTTAATTTGAGATTGAAATTATTTCCTAGTATGTTAAAGTTTAGGTAGTCAAGACCATTTAATATAGTCAAGGTGTATCATTATGAAGCTATTAAGATTTAGGACAAAAAAATGGCCCAATATTTAAAGTGAATGGTCAAAAACTTATGACTTATTTAGGAGGAGAGATAGACTTCCTTAGGTTGACTTTAAAATTGGCTTAACCTATACTCTCAGTACTTCTTATGCAGGCACCCTCTTATTGTTACCTTGCAGTTACATTTGAGTTATGTAGAAGGAGATCTCTCTATATACAGTCTGTTTGAGGGAATTGCTCGGGAGCAAGAAAGGAGTTTATCACTGGAGCACATCGAACCTCCTCTGGCCATTTCCTCAATGCAGCCACCCTCCCCGATGGGGAAAGCCTTTGAAGTTCCTCTCTTAGTTGGATAAGTCTTTATTCATCTCATTCAGAGTTAAGTCTTCAATAAGAGACCTACCAAAAACAATGCTTGCACAACATCTCATCTATAAGACATCTCTTATCAGCAGATTAGCACTAAGTCAGAGATCAACATCAATTCATCACTCACCCCCTCTCGCTCTAATGAGGCAACATCAAATTGGCTTCTAACCCAACATTGACTCAATCCACATATGACCATGGGTGTATCTCATTCACATCATCTCTCATAAGATCACCACACTACTTAGCACATCCAACTAACATATACCAAAGATTGATAATACAACTCCTGTACTCCATATATATTCAACTATCTCTCTATGCCTTGTAAATAAGATGAGGGGGATTCAAGAATGACATGATGAATGGTCATAAGATGTAAGAAAAAGAGTATATGAAAGGGGGAGAGAGAGAGAGAGAGAGAGAGAGAGAGAGAGAGAGAGAGAGAGAGAGATAGATTCATACAATGATACTGTGGAAATTTTTTCTTTTTTATCTTGAGATCTATGTGACAGAGCCCTCGCTCCTCTTATTCTTATACTGTTGGTTGGGAAAATAAAGATTTTTTTCCATATTTATCTTCTTCTCTCCTACTTTCTCTACATTTTCCTATCCATCTTCATCATCCTCACCTATATGTCCTCAACTCATAGGTAGATCCACAAAGTATGGTCGAGCATCATCCATCAGAAAAATTTTGATTCAACATCCTCCTAAATTTGGTGAGCATGGATTTGATGCCAAAAATTAGATGACTGCAATCCACCGAGCAACCGTAAACCTCCATGAACATGATGAATCCAGACTATACCACTCATCACAAGAAGTAAGAAATGAAGGAGGACCTTCTAATGTTTATTTAGAACGCTCTCGTAATCACTAGTATGCAAGAACAAACTGCCAACTTTCTCGAATGACCACTTCACCATGACACTTTTTGCACTCTAACAAGAAGAAGTAAAAAGAAGAATTGTAGACACTATAATTCACACATCAAAGAAAAAATCTTCTTATGGAGAGACCTCATCCAAAAAAAAGTAGGCGTATTCGCTCATAGCTCTACACTTAACAAAGTAACTGACCCTTGTGTAGGCCCTTACATTATAAAATGATAAGTTGGCCATAAATCCTATCAATTACAAACCCATAATGGAAAAGAAATATCCAGGACATGGAGTGCCAACAATCTCAAGTCATTCTATCCTTAAAAGAAGACTTTTCTTCATTTACTCTACATTTTATTACTTTCTTTTATTAAGAACCACTTTCCTTTACTCTTCATGAAAAAGCCTCTTATAAAATAAAAATATATTAGACACCCACTCCCAACAAAACCACCACTTTAGGATGCCCGAGAAATTCAAGATGTTGAGAATGGATATTTGGAGGGTGTAATGAGAACTCCTTAAGAGTCTTTTTTATGGAGAAATCTGTCAAACCATAGCATCTTGACTAAAAAATAAATATGCATGATCACCTGAGTAATATGGGGCAATCGAGTACCCCTCTAGGTTCAAGATGAAATAAAAGATTAGATGACTCCCTACAGTGAGATGAGGTCCCCCAAGAACTTGTTGACCTCATCTTTATACGAGCTTCATCAATAAAAAAAAATCCAAAACCAAGATCAAATCCAAAATCTCAAACCCAAAGTCAAGGACAAAAGCCTATGTCACATAACTATTTTGAGTGATTTTTAAATCACCTCAAAATCAAATCAAATGACCTCTGATTCATAATATGTTAGTTGTATATTTATTAGGCATACCTCTAGGGTCAACCCTCCAAATTTCAGACCAATCTGAGCTCTCTAACCCCAAAAACGCAATTGAAATCCAGAGGTTATAAAACCTTTAAATATTTATAGCCCATGCCACTAGATCATGCATCTTGTGGAACTTGACCTTGGGAACCTTTCCAAAACTCTTGAACATGTCTAAAACCCTTGTTATGACATTTTAAATATAAAATTGAAACTTTGGTGGACCCTAGTTGACCATGACTGACCATGGACCCATTAAACCCCAAAATCCTTAAGGGAAAATTAGTTTTTCCCTTAAACCTCAACATGGATCATTCAAACCAGCCTTTCAAACATCTTTTAATGCATTCTAAATATCATTTAATGCAAGGAGACCTTACCATTATATGGGACCACCTCCATTGGCTCAAAAATATCATTTTGAACTTGTTGGACCTAACCCCAACCTCTAGATTGACTTGGTTGATCAAGTCCACCATGGTTGACCAAAATTAACCATACACCCTAAAAAATATAAGTCCAATACTTTGGGCTTTTCAAACCAAACCAAATCCTCAAAATCATTTATTTGCAAGTCCAATACATCTCACCCATCTTGAGTTAAACCATGTGGTTTGACTTGGTTAAAATCCCAAGCATTGTCAAACCCCTCACATACACTTGGCTATTCACATAAATACTCACATCATATTTCCAAACACTTGGCTATTGATTTCTAACATTAAAACTACATTCCCTTGAAATCTAACTCATCACATGT